GGTAACTACTGTATTACCAATCAATGGTAAAACATCCCAATAGTGATGGATGGTTAAGTTGGGTGCTGCAACGGTGTTTCCTGTCTTATATTATTGATATTTAAATACATGAAATGAACATTATTCGTGTCGAACTATAGTAATTATATTACATCTAAGAGCTGTATTCTTGAATCGTTCCACTTGTTGATTGATATTGGCATTTATTGCAGCATAATTAACGACTAATCGTTGCTAGATTTGCGTAATGGGTGGTAAGCGAGAAATTTAAGTAGATGATTATACTATGATACCGTTGAAGTACGACAAGTAGAATTGATCAAAAGAAAGATAACAATCATATATACAGTTGTACACATTGATCTGCTTAAAGCTCTCATCGATCTTTTCTTACCTCGCGCTTCCTCAAATCCCTCATGTACGTAACGTCCGGGAGTACGGGCCCTTGTGTTGATACACACGTTAAGATTATTAGTATTGGATAAAAGCGTGCCCCATACAGATAGCGTAGTCTGATTCTCCCCTGAAAATGACTGATGTGCCAACGTTTGAGCCGAAACGTTTATTCGTGATGTGCAATGTAAAATATTTTCTATTGGGTTTACTTCTAGCTATAAAAATGTATAAAAAATGTTTTTTTATAACAATTGAAATAAATATAATGTAAAAGTCAAGTAGATATATCAACTCGGCACAAAGGACAGTTAGTGACCAATATTTTATCAGCAGTTGTGGTAAATACACATTAAAAGATGATTTTGATTATTGTATACTTAAGGTGAAAAAAGATTCGAACGCATTTCGGCCAAACGCTGGATCGCGCACCTTTTTTTTTGAAGATTGACCGATGTTATATATAGTACAACGGCATCAGTCTGGGACCAGGTCCCATATTATGGTCTTGATCGTTCCGTCGTGTCTCAATACAAACGTCACAATGTATGGCAAGTGGAACATTCAATCGATGATAAGGGAATAAATATGACAGGATATACGAACGGCCACTTGATGGTCGGTAGGAAGTATGGATTGATTAGATCGGTATTTTACTCCGTTCCGATCAATTCGACACTAAACTAAGTCAATCCACCAAAGTAAAACTGTGTCCAACCGTTTCATCTGAGTGACAAATTAAAGACCAGGTAATTTGTCAACTATCAAGTGGAGAAAGGTTGGGAGTGTATCAACATACACCCACCAATCCACCATTGGACAGTTGGAGGTCAGGATGTGGATTCGTGATAGGATATCTTGTCAACGTTAGAAGTGTTAATTAAAAAGAAGAAGTTAAAAAGAGTGCATTAGACAATACTCAAACGTTCGGATCAAAAGAGCTGATGGAACATGGCCGAATCGATGCCACCATGTCGATTGAAGTATGTTTGGCTTTACATTTAGGCCCATTAATCAACGTTGCATGGTTTCATAATTATACAAATACAGTCGTCCCTCCATATAAGAACCTCTATAGAGGGTTACATTCCTGTTTAAGGATATTCGTGTCCCGCACCAAGCTGCGTCACTTGGTTTTTGATTGCTGACTCTATATAAGATACTAAAGAAATAGGGTACTAAAACAACGCGCACCATCCACCATTTTCCCTCTATATTGGACTCGCCACAGTCTCGCATTGCCTGCCACTTTGCACATTTGCTTTGTACCACGTTAGGCATGTCGTCAAAGCGAACGACTCTGACAATGGCGTAAAAGCGTCAGGTGCAGGAGCACATTACACGCATACCAGGCAAAAACCTATTACAAATACAAGACTGGGTCAGGGAGAAGCTCGGCCTTATGATCTCCGCAACGACAGCAGAACGGATTCGTCAGGCACCAGCCAACGCGTTTCTTGCCATGGGCAGGAAGTGCATTCAAAAGGTGCTGTTTCCAGCGTTTGACGTTGCGTTCTTCGCATTCTATCGCATCAATGACGGCAGAGAGATTCTCACAGACGATCTACTACTAGAAAAAGGTCGCTCGATCCGAGTCTCACAAGGGATATGCGAGAACAACCTGCGGCTTTCGAATAAGTGGACGTACAAATTCAAGACTCGACACGGCATCCAGCAGCATGTGCTTCACGGCGAGCCAGACTCAGTTGATCGCACTCAACTTGCAGTGAATCGAATATAGCTTTGAAGCCTTACTGGACAATATTCATCCCGAGATGTATATAATTTTGACGAATCAGCTCTCTTCTATCGCCTACCTCCAAACAAGACACTGGCAACGATCAAGCGCAACGGAAAGAAGTCATAGAAGGATCGTATCACAGTCGCAATGTGCTGCAACATGACCGGGACCGAGAAGATGGATCTCTTTGTCATGAAAAAGTCGAAGAAACCACGATCATTTTGCAAAGCCAACACCAAGCAAATGATTTTTTTGTACTTCAACAACTAGACTGCGTGGATAAACAGGTCAACATTTGCTGAGTGGCTCCGGCATTTCGATGCCCAGATGCACGAGAGGAGAGTGCTTCTCCTGCTGGACAACGCGTCGTGTCACTATGGCGCCGCTGAAATATACAATGCCAAGCTGGCATTCCTGCCGCCAATTATGACAGTACACTTGCAACCGCTCGGCGCAGATAAGTATGAATGGATGTTCTTGTGACCAGCAGTTTCTCACGTGTTTTATTTCTGATGGTAAATATACGGGCATTAAAGCGCGGTATCGAAAGAAATTCGTTCGATGGCCCCTGGGTGCAATTCACACCAAAATAGACTGAAAATTGAATATCCTGGAGGCTGTGCGCCTCGCTATATAAAGCTAAAGGGATGTACCCGAGCAAGTGATTCGCAACTGCTGGAGCAAGTGTGCTATGGCAGGGGCGGTAACGATGGCCGATCTCATCCAATTGTGAGACTACAACAAGCACATCGATGGATCTGTTGATGACGAGCTGACCAAGCTCATAGAAGGTTTGACTTGCAGCGTCAGTGTCGTCGATTACATCGGTGCAAATGACGACGAGCTGATCGAGTGCGACTCAGACGTGATAGAGCATGAGGCGATTGAGAACGACAATGATGGTGACAGTGCCGATGAGGTGACGATTGGGCCATCTGAGGCTTGAGACTGTTGTCTCTGTTTGTCATCATTTCTTTCGCTACAGCATGACAGTGACGAATTGACGACGAAGCTGGCAAGTATCACCGAGCACGTAAGACAGCAGTGCTCGATGCGAATAACTCAGTGTACCATGGATGCATTTATTAGAATGAGTTCGTATTGCCCCTCCATATAAGATCGTTTTATATAAGGAACGAGGCAAAAACGCCACACATATTGGTCCGCTATATGGAGGGACGACTGTATATTAGCTTTGTTTGAAGTATAGCTAAAAGGCGACTAGAGGAAACAATATTGCGATTATCAAGGTGAGTATTGGAATATCGACCGGGAATTAACACGAGTTTCAGGGGAAACTCCGGCAAACATATGGTATCGCTTTGGAAGGTATCCTGTAGTTAAAGATAATAATCATAATTGGCTGAGCTATATTGAGATTAATGATGAACAGGCTTAAAATGAACTTCTTCCATTGAGGTTACGCGCCTTATTCTTCGGGCAAGATTGGATTTTTGACGAGTACAAATTCTCGCATCCCAAGATTCAGTAGACCAATTTGGGATTGTGGACCAATCGCGAAGACCGAAACCGTAATATTTGGCCCGCATCGCGCTAGTACTCACAAGACCCAACTGCGATCGGACGCAGCATACAAGGAAAGGGAATGAATATTAAATGTTAGAGGCAGCTTGAGTAATGAGAAGAATGATTGTAGAAGCTTGACGGCAGTACCACATATAATTTGAAACGAGGGTATCAGATCACTGTGGAAAGTTTGTCGCATACTCCAACTCAGAGCGAGAACGACATTTCATAAGGCCGAAACGAAGAGCCAAAGTCAGCCCAACCGACGGGGACTCAAGGTGAGCACAAGGTTATACAGCAAAGCACAAATCAGGCCGCCCTCTCCTTGAGTCGGTAAGTCTGGGAAAGTCAAATATCGCACGCCACATTAGCCCCAATTTTGTGAGACCGGTCTCTCCACGTGTCCTTCCACAGTTTCGGCGTCTTAGCCGGACCGTTTTAGCGGTTAATTGGTTGTATGTGTGCACTATCCGCCTCCAACCTGTGACCTTTTTGCAGACGGGGATAAGTTCGGAGAGAGACTCAGAAAGGTCAACTCCTTACGTGACCTGCTGCTACGTGATCGGCTAGGAATTTGTCGACCGCGATGAAATATTCACGAAGAAGTGACCTCTGCTTCATGGCTCAGCACTTCGAGCCTCTTTCAGATCGGTCACATGACGCGTTCATTAGTACAGTGGCAACCCTTAGAGTGCGCCTTTAGGGAATATGTCCTTGATGACGCCATGGTAATCTTAGAGTTTCATCAAATTCTCATCAAAATTTAAGCCGATGAAATCATCATTGCACGGTGATCAGCTAATCTATCGCTGACATCCTTTTATTACTCGTTTATTCTCTTTCATTGCTCTGCGTATTGCTTCTTGGCGCACGGTCATATTCGTACAAGGGGTCTCGTGCGAAACAAACTTGACCAGAAGCATCTGCTTACATCCAGGTACTGGGATCTGCCTTTTCGGTTAAAACGTACTATTTAGATTCGAGCAGACACAATACTGTCGTTAGCGCGCTGTAATTCCGTCACGCAACCATATCGCTTACACGCGTCAATCACAGGCGCAGACTGCGAACTGATCGAAACTACAAGCACATGCAAGTTCTCGGACAGTATGTTGTATGGCCAATACTAGAGCTCAAGCCAGGACACAAGCAGCCAAAATAGCTGCGTAAAACAACTCAGTAGCGCATTTCCATTATCATCTATTCGACGGACGCTCACATCTGTTAAGGTGTGTTTCCATCACGTTGCGAAGGTGCAAAATCGAGATGTTCTGCGCCAGTCAGCGTCACTTCATACAAACGTCAAGTGATTCATCATTTACGCGTTTGTATTGAGAGAATGAATGCCGAAGTCACTACCCAAGAACTACCGTCCACGGACATCACGGACGCCTTCGATGCCATCTCGGGTTACGAAGAGACTCTTGTGGCGCAGGGAGAAGCCATGGGGATCGAGCGCGGCCGGTCGCTGGGTATTGAGGAAGGCCGCGAACTCGGGTGCGCCATCACTATTTCTCGAACGAAACATGGCAAAAAGACACGACTTTGTTACTCTCGTATTAGGCTTATCAAGGGAGCCGAGATTGGCAGCGAGCTGGGCTTCTATCGAGGTTGCTACCTGATCTGGAACCACATGCTCAAGCACGAGGCACTGCAATGCAAACTCCCGTGCGTGTCATATCCTCAGTGTCAGAAATGTGGTTTACAACGTCGTCACTGACGTGTTCTGATGGTGCTCAGAGATCGAGCAGCCAAGTCGGTGGCTTCTTTTGGCGTGTTGCTCGAAGCGCTCAACCTCAAGGTGGTCACAAGAATGAAAAGGGTATTGTTGGTGATTACACGCTAAAGGTGTCATTTGTTGTGCAGAACGTGGTGGATGAAGACATAATGCAAGCGATGTGTCGTATTCGAGCCAAATTCAAGGTCATCACGGCAATCGCAGGTCTGCTAGGCACTTTGGTGTACAACAAAGAGGACATTGACGCGCACAAGAACATGTCATTTTGAGACAAGCTTCCGCTAGGGTGCTGCTCTTGTACAGTACTTGAGGGACTGCTGTTCTAGTCTGCCGAATACATCGACGATTGGTTTCGCGACATCGTAAGGTGCATTCAGGCGGCGACTTGGCTGGCAAATTACTTGCGTACGAACATCATTGATCGATCAGGTAGCACTGGTGGTGAAAACAACACATACACCAACAAGTGCCGCAATTTTAGCGCTTGGTCTGATACCACTCTACGTATGTGTGGTGCCTTCTTGACCCGCAGAAAAGATAAGGACTGCCATGCAATATCTTTTCGAGCCGTATTCATCAGCGACGAGAACCAGATGCATAGATCTTGCGTAAAGTGTGCAGAACAGCAATGTCTGGCACACTTACCTGTTGTTTGAAGTGCCAGGAAGATCAAGATAATCACTACGAGGTATGTTACGCAGCTACTCAATTGATGTAGCCTCGCTGTGTCACGTTGATCATGTTCAATCCCATAAATTTATACAACAGAAGCTGCGTCGCGAGCTAACTCTGTGGCAAGCCTACATAGTCGATTACATTTGTGTCAGCGGGATCGCGCTACGAATGTTAGTTCTACCGAAGTCAAGCATGTTGTCGCTAAACGATAGGTTGCTAAAATTTAACATCCGCCCGGTGACTGAGCTTCGGTGTGGCGATAATAAATGGAGCCACGACGTTGTTCAGGATAAACGCTTTATCAGGATCGATATCATGCATGATCAGAGCAATAATAAATTATAATTGCTCTTGCACAATGTAGCAAGGACGTGCAGCTTGCGAACAATTGCGGCGTCAAACCCGGTACACAGCAGCACCCAACGATCTTGTCGTTAAGTTGAAGAAGTACGCTGACGGTGTGTAGTCTTTTCTTTGGTGTATTTTTAGCATTGCAATCAGACCGCATGTCGTGTCGCCTTTCACCACTTTGTCAGTGCTTAGCGGTACTCAATGCGTGACGCAACCAAGGAGGGTTTCAGGAGAAGAAAGACAAAATCGTAGCGGTGACTTATGCAAGCATGTGCGCTGAACTAAGAGCAATATGACACGGCTAGCTCTGATATTACAGCATTTTATCATCAGTTCTGCATGGCAAAGCTTTGCTGACAATTGCTGACCTTAAGTCTTGCAACGTCCGATCATGCCGATCGAAGATCGACCTCAGTTGTACTGGTCATGCGTTGTCTCGCTTGCTGTGATACATTGCCAGTGCCTGTTGTGATACGTGGCATTGCCGTCAAAGCCATTCATATGTCACTTCCTATTTGCGTGCACCTAGCTTTATTGGCGCACTCATACACTCGATCCTCACGCCAATGTGCTGCGCTTTTTACTGTTGTTTCGCGCGCGAGCTCTTAGCAGCCATACGTGCGAACACTTGTAAGAATTTTAGGTAATCGAGACTTATTGTGTGCAATAGACAAAGTTCAGCATGCAGCGACTGCCCAGCAGCCCAATATGTATTCCATCAAGTGCTGGGCTCTACACGACCACCAAATTAATGACCTGTAACTGTTCGGCTCTTTACTTGACAGATTGTCGACCCGTACCTTCGCCAACGTTGTACAAAAGCCAAATGATTTTCGCTTGTGCTTCGCGATCTCGCTTCTAAACGCTGGGTTCGCAGCAGAAATCATGTACTGTGAGAGTGCTTGGGAACACGTTCGTTACGCAGTTAGTCTGCCAAAGCAACTCCCTCGTGCTCATGGGCTGAGCCAGCATGACCAGTAATGACCGCCATGCCACCACGTCTATCTTTACACTTCGTAGTCATCTGTACCATTGTGGGTTTATTCATTTGGTTGTATCTACAAATTCTCATCGCTCGTCTCCAATCACAGTTGCGCTCACAGGTGACTGGACCTGTAGCTGTTTGTATCCTACTTCTGTAAATGGGGCAAACTTTGACCCAGTAAGCTTGTCAACTCGCATTTTCGGCCGCTGACGTTTACAGCATATCCGGCTTTCAATTCGTAAGAGTCGATTAGCGCTACGCAAAGATCATACAGCACCTTTGGCAGTACCTCGTGTGACCCATGTCTAACGGTGTGTAGGCTCGCTCATCGGGCTGGATCCCAGTGTCGTTGGACCCGGTTAGCTCGATCTACGAGCCGCCGTAAATCTTGGATTTGGGTAAGCGGCATGTAACAACAACACAGGGGTGTTTGTGTCGGGCGTGTTTGTGCTGGATAAGCTGTGAGCGATTTTGCTGCTATCGGCATTGTAAGCATCCGCAACGTTGTAGATCATGCTGTCACTCGTAGTTTGTCCTGATTGCTGATGTTCAATATAGTCCACAATGGCGTCATCAGGCTGGTGGACATACGCACTGTAATATGATCAGCCCTTACTGCCTCTTGAAACCATCGCATACTCCATAACACATGACCCAGACAACTCGAGCAATTCAGATCCAGTGAATGGGCATTTGTGATCTCCTTTTGACGCGCGTCCGGTTAGCCAAAGTACTCACAATATTTGAATCGTCAGTTGCATTCCACTAGTCCTTACGTGCGGTCATAAGTGGTCTACCTTCTGTCACTTGAATCATTGCAGCAGCGGGCGAATGTGAAAGACGCTCAATGTTCGCACTGACTGACTGAAAATTCCGGCGATAACACTCTACTGCACGAAAAGTCTTTCTGGCTGGAGTTATCCTGGTGTTATGTCTGCAAATGTAGGTGCACTCATGGAACTGCAAGCCCGAGAAGGTGCGACTAAAGTAAAGCATGTTTGGGGTGGGGTGTGCTGGTCTTTCGTGTTCTTCATTGCTTTGGCACCCTCGAGAGACGACATGTATGCTACCTTCATTTGTTTGTTTGTCATTTATTTGTTTATTTGTCGAATCATTACGTAATCAATTCCATATGAGTCGGAGTGCTTTACGATCGCATCATCCGCCTCCCTATCGCAAAAATGTGTCGTGTCATGGAGCAGAGATCTTCTTCTATGTATACTATTCGACGTCCATTTCAATGTGGCCATGGTGATGCTGTACAATCTAGTGAGCCAGCGATCATGAGGGCGATTGTACTCGTGGGCTTTACATTTGATGCATGTACCAATGTTTGGTGCGATTGGCCGACCCGATCTATTCGCGATGCAAATGGCCCTCGGATGAGTTTGTCTCACACAAGTCCGAATCCCAGATAAAGGTGTCATAGTTGGCATCGATAACCTTGCCCTGTGGTGAATCTGCCCAGAAGCTCTGAGCCGTACTCGCCAGGCCGGACACAACTTATCCGAAGGCTCTGACGTGCGCGTGCTAGACCGTAACTGTTATTGCTGGTTGGATGACATACAAAATGTGGTGTGCATAAAGGTCAGGGTACATATGCGCGGAGGATGCGTGGCGAACGGAGGGTTCGTATATTGCGAAGGTGTTCATCAGCCATTCTCCCTTCTTCAGTCGTGATGTCCAGGAGGAACGTTACAGCTCAATAAAAATGCCGATTTCGATTTTAGATAGAATGGCTACTGTGAACCAGCAGGAGTCTCTTCCTCATCTTCCTTCTTCCCTCGCTATTGATGGCCATATCATAATGTCGTTGTCTGACAGCTCCTTGTTTGCGGCGGTGTTTCTGTCGGCAGAGTCGCGCAGGGTCTCGGTGATTGTTTTTGTTTTTGGACTTAGGACAGCCCAACACCTTCTCCGATTTGCACTCCGCCTCATATCTTCTTTCTCACTGCTGTTAGCTTCGCGTCCCTCTCATCATTTACCTTCCCCCTGTACGAAGTACAGTGCGCCCAGAGCAATTGCTGACCTTCTGTGCCATACATTCCGCCCATGCCGCATGACACCAGCGCATTGCCACTATATGGTCCGCCTTGTACATGTACTGCTCACCGTTCTCATCTCCATCAAGCGCGTATTGGTATTGGTAGCGACGAGTTCCACGTTTGAATGCAAAGTTGAGTTCTGCGTCCTCTAGCTGGACTTTTCCTGTAATCATGGCCCGCTCCTACCAGTTTCCTTTTTGAGCTGATCAAGACATCCAGGTTGCTTGGAAGTCAACTGCTCATGGCGTCGAGATTGCGTTTGCATGGTCATGGTCAAATACCATGCTTTGCGCGAAGTGCCTGAGCTGGTAGTAAATTCTAACGTCATTCGTATCTGAGAAATAATGAGAAACGCTGCAGAGAAAACCAGATCGATCATGATAGCTGCCATTTCGAGAAATCTCGCTTTCGTTCCCTTTTCGTTCGTTTGGTGCAGTACCGTTTCTCGAGCAGCATGTGTACATGATCGTTTGAATAGAGCTGAAAGCCTAACTATCAGGCTCTTTTTCGGCGTTGTTGCGAAACGTGCGACCTCATCCTGCTTCGTCCATGTCTGTACACGCTGCTGTGGTCGTGCTATTCGATGAGCTCACGAAGGCGGGGCAGTGCATCCTCTTGCGTCTGATTGTCGGTACTCTTTCACCTCTGGCATAATAGCATTGCAATGCGTAGTGCTGCTGGAAACGCGTTGACCGGTTGCTTGAAACACTCATTCAGCCCTTTGGAATGTTATGCGTGTCATAAGGACGTCCTGCCGCTTTGGTCTCGATTGAGCTGCAATTTAGCGCATCGTTACGTTGTTGTTTGTAGAAAGAGGTGGAGGGGGGCGATGAGGTGGATAGTGTGTCCTACGGCACAGGGTGCTATGAAAACGCGTGCGCTTTGCGAATAGCCTGATCTCGTTGATCGACCCAGATCAGTACGCCTACCCAGGGTCTTGCTTATCCGAGGAGGGCCTGCAAATTGGCTACAAACGGTTCCCCGTCTTGTGACATCTGTCAAGCCCGCATTGCGAATCCCTCTTCCGATCGTAATACAAGCACGGTCTCCTTGGCTTGGTTGTCTGTAACATAATAGCTTGACGTACGAACTTGTTGTATGGATGTTGGTGTGGCTGAACCAACACGGCGACCGAACAAACGAATCAATGTCATCTCTCAGGACGGGCTTCTGAGGCAGTATCTTAGACCATGTTGCGTATGTAGTGTTGGAAGTTTCTCGCTACCGTGCACTTCAAGTAGATCTAGTGAGAAAGGGATGTTGCAGCGCAAGTCGGTCGTCAAGTTGATGCCACGAAGACGATTAAAGCTGAGGCAGACAAGTGTCAAAGCGTGTCAGAACAAGTATTCTCATGTTTACCGCAGGATGCCTCTACCATGATCAGGTTGCATGACACGAATCGACTAGGACTGCGTGTTTAAACCACTTCAACATGGCATTTGCGTTGTTCATCTGTCACCGAGGGCATGGCATTGTTGGCAGTGCTCGTTATAAAAGCGATTACCCGTTTGTTTCGTTACGATGTACACGCAAAGTGCGACGTGTGAATCAAGACAAGCATCTTGTGACGAGTGCGTGTTCGTTGGCGGCCCAGCGTTGCTCAGCTGTGCTGGATCGACAGGAGTAGTTCTACCTTGTGAAGGCGGCCGCTATGTATTCGTGCCCATGTTGAAGCTGTCTAAACCAGACTGCTAGCTGCTCTCATTTCTACCCCTCTTGGTCCACATGTTAGCTTTACTTTCAAGTGAAGACTTGGCACGAAAGAATTAGTTTTGCACAGACCATGACAATATCTAGATTGTATCACAGCAGCGTCGACTATGGTCAAGAAGGAAACGTCCACGTGGAAGTGGTTGGAAGGATAAGTCCACGTAGAAGTGATAGGCATGGAGCTGTATGCTCACTGGCAATTCTGCATCCGTCCAGGCGACACCGATGAGCGCATACACTTACGACGCAGCAAGGCAATAAGCTTGGCTGCTCAGATCAAGTCTACAAAACACAGTCGCAGCTTACACATCGAAGCCGACAGAATGGACGATGGTCGTGACTGGACGAATTCGAGCGCGAGAATCGGCCGACCAACACGATATTCGTCTGTCATTGTTCTCGACTCGCCATACTGCGATGGTTGAGTGACTGCGTATGTCCCTGTGGTAGGAGACACCATCGTGGTGGTGACGTGGACACATCCTAAAGTATGTAGCGAAAACTGCAAGTTGAGCGAACAAGTCATTTATGGTGTCAACCAACCACTGCAGCCTCATCCCAGTGGCAAGCCGTAACCGTACAGAAGGGTGAGATACAGCGCGACAGTAGCGTTGGAAGGCCTTGAAATGCAGTAGCCTGGAACACGGAGGATTTCGGATGCATGTTTCGCGCGAGTGCGGACTCGGATCACTGGCGAGGTAGGCGCAACTGGTCGTTAGTACAACCGCACAGTACTAACTCATATTTACGAGCGAAGCTTCCAGCCAGCAGTTCGACTGACCGGCGTAGCGGCAACACGGACAGTGCCGAGTGGGTCTGATCGTTGGACAGACTTTTTGATGTAAATGCTAATTTGATCAGTCTTCCAGTCTCATACCTTCTCACGATGTGCGACGAGAAGATACAATCGTGCTCGCAGACATTTCGCGGTCGGTAGTGTTGGCGCTGGTCTAGTTTACAAAACGCTGTTGCAGTCATACGAGGCAAAGACTGCTTCGGATGCACCGGCGCCGCATTTGACCAGCTACTCCTCAGTTTGGGCAGCCTTCGTATTAAATTTGTTTTCGAGCTCTCTGTACGAGCTTTCTCGCGGTTAGTGATACAGTACTGGGACCTTCGTCAGTGCATGAGAAGTGGTGGCAAGTCCAGAATGCACAGTGCGGTCAAGTCGTGGTTGTAACATAGGAGATGGAGTAAGCGCTGCGTCTCTTCTCCCATCTTGCCATCTCGGCTCGACATCACTATCGCAAGGCTGATGCGCGTGCAGAATGGGTGGAAAGTCCTCAAAGGCATTGATCACGAACACGTGGCATGCGCTCGACTTATCGATGCCATACTTTCGACGGTCGACAGCAGCTGCTATCTGTTTGAATGGAACCGTCGTGCCGGCGGTCCAGGTGAACGTTTCTCACGGCGTTTGCAACGCGCATCAGGTTCTGCGATCAAGCACGTGCTCGAAGCCAAGGAAACGCTACACATCAATCGAAATCGGGCATGGCGTTCACCAAATTGTCCGAGCATTACCAACGTCTGCAAACCACTGTAGCTCTTTGCAACTGCGTGAATCATCAACCCATTCTGAACCGTATTTCCAACCAAATCGTCTCACGATCAAAGGTTTTCGTCAAGCAACACATTCTTTACCCACACCTTTCACGGAAGGCTCCAACGTCTTGAGGATCAGATCGAGTGCACACGGCAGACTAGATGGCAAAGCATGTGCACCTGGCAACGGTAGCTAATAACACAGTCTTTAAACTGATCCTACTGCATGCCGACAATCACGAACAGCAACATGCTGCTGCTCGCTTGTTGTGGCAGCAAGCCCTTCAGCGCAGCCATCGGCGGCTTTGGAACGTCAACGCAAGCAGCACAAACACACTGCATCTCTGCACGGGCCTTGCGCGTCCGATCCGCGCTGCATCACATCTCTGTCGATTACTCGCCGATTGAACAACAGCAGCAGATAAGCGATCGTTGTACCACGACAAAAATCGCGTTGCGTGGCGAAGCGTAGCGTGACGTATTCAATTTCTTGTCTACTGACGACAGCATCCCCCAGTTCCTGTATGTTTCAGCTGCATGTTTTAGCTGCTGGCGCGCGTGTGTTTTTACCTGTGTCGTCAGCTTTGCAGCAGCACTTTACGGGTACCAGTGCTGTTAGCGACCACACGCGTACATACACAGAGCGAGACGCGGGCGATCGCAGTTGTATGTAGCTGCTAATGCTACCACAGCAACTGAACAATGTACCGGACTGAACCGGTGCAAGTCGATGCGGACAACGCACGTACGACAACATGCCACCGAGTGTAATGAGCACAGCACATGAGCCGTCTTTCGCCGCCTCGTCAAGGAAGTCCAGTCCGTATCATCAGCAAGTCGCTGAAAACAGTTGGAAGGCGGCAATGGCAGTTGCACTCGCGTCTGTAAACGATTCGGCTCCGGCAAGCAGTGTCTTGTGCACAGCTGTGCTGAACAGGAGATGTATCGAGACCAGGCACACGTTCCGAGCGCATCAGGTGGTCGGAGTACAAGTTGTTCGGTGGGGAGAAGAAAGCGTGGGATGTTACCGTATCGCCACCCCACCTCACCCCAAACAATGGAGGATGGCCCCTCTGTGTGCGCGTTGTGTCCACCTCGTCCATGACGATGCTGCAGGTCACGAAGAGTGCGTGGCTGCATATTCGCATTCAGCTGCCGGTCACGCTGCTGATTCGAGTGCAAACGTCCGCACCGTGTTTTCCGTCCCCGCTATCTGGCAAGCGCCATCCGACATAGCACAACAACTTGCAGCCCCGCAGCCTCTTTACTGAGCCCTGTTGCCTGCGCACAACACTAGTGCGGTTAGCTGAGCTCGACGAGAAGACTGCTAGGACCAACATGTTGCTATGTAGCAAGCACGACAAACACGGTAAAAAACGACTCGGAACGACAAGCGTGTGATCGAACCCTCTCGTGCTTTCGCAACTGGAAAAGGAGCCGAGAAAGAAGTCGATCGGCCAGTACAAGTCCAGCGCAACCTCCTGCTACTACTGAACTTGTCTGCTCTACCGGTGCCCGAACAATACCCGCACTTCCGTGCAAGTCCCTCATCGCGCGTGTGTGTGTGTGTGCAACGACACCCGCTATCGTCTCTGCCATCTGCTCACTCTCCGTATCCATCTGCGTCGGCAGGCGACACGCTGTATCACGCGGCTTTGTCTCTACACGCAAACATCTCACTGATCCGCAAGAGTCTCTTCCAGTTGTTCTCGTCGTCTGCCGTCGTCAGGGCAGCAGAATGTTTGCCAACCAGACGCACCCACTCGCAGAGTCCGTCGCTGGTCAATTCCGTATCGCCACTTGAGCTTGAAAACGTCGAGTCCGAGTCCGACATCGAAACAGAGCCTCGTCACGGAATCGATACACTCCAACGTGACTCGCTGCTCGCTGCATTCATTCGCTGCATGACAATGGCGTCGGCAGTGCATTTACCATGCGACCGCAAACAGACGCGCCGGATGCGCCATCGCGCCGCGAGGCAGATCACTGACGTGCTGGAAGTGTGTCTCAACTCGACCCGCACGAAGGAGCAGTGGTCGCGATTACGTCGCGAGAAGCACGAGGAGCTGTACGCCAAGAGCACCAAACGAGGAGTGACGAACAACGGCCCGTCCGTCGATTACTTGGCTGTCAACGAGGCGTCGTGCGGGTTCGAAGAAGCGGTTGCTCTCTTGCACTTCGACTCGACCGCTCGATTTCGACTCCTGATGAAGCTCTTGCACGGTCGCGACTTCAAAGATGGGGCGTTGATGGCGATAGGCACAGACGACCAGCTCGCGCTCGATGGGTTGGCCGCCGACACGCAGCACGCAGCGATTCGGTTCACCTATCGGGACCACCGCAAGTCCGTACTCCTGCGGGACCAGCACCTGACGTTTTTCCAGACGCTCAAAGTGTTGCTCCCCGACACGCTGCCGGAACACGAACGCGACTACCGCAATGCTGCCGCTTCCTTGTCAGCAACTGCACTACCTTTGACTGGGCCGAGTGCACGTCCGAACGGCGGAGTGCACAAACGGACGGTCGCCCTGAGCTGGCTGCCATTCCCTCGCTCGCACGGTGCGAGTCAGCAGGAACCAGCGCGGCAGGTCGACTTGCAGTACACGTTGATCGTCGAGGAGATAGCTGTGCATCGACTGCGTCTCTCGTGTGTGACCAGCTCGTACCACGAGCAACACAAGCGCGCGTCGACCAGCTCGCCCTGGACCGCACGAGCCATTGCACGGCGACTTGCGCTGCGATCGGTTGGCAAACTCGAGGCGGCTGTTGCAGCCGCTCGACTTGGCGGCTGTCAGTTTGTGGCACCGCATCAGTGGGTGAGAAATGAAGACCGCGCGCGTTGTGTGGTCTGCTGGAAACGCTTCCACGCTCTCTTTCGCCGTCGACACCACTGTCGTCTCTGCGGAGAGGTCATTTGCGGCTCGTGCTGCTCATTGCGCACGACGAACGTCGTCAATGTCGAGACGAGGGCAGCGCAAAAGACCCGCATCTGCCACATGTGCCACAACGAGGCGCGACTCCCGACCGGAGCGCTTGCGTTCTCGAGCGGCAACCCGCGCCACATTCATACCAGCACCAGACGCGTTTGCGTCGATCGTCCACGTCAGGAACAGCCTCCGTTGCTTGAATCGGACTCCGATGTCGAACTTCCTCGATCAGCACGAGCAGATTCAGCGGATCGGAGCGACGTGACACTCTCGCCCTTTGAAGTGCTGTCGCCGTCAGTTGATCTCCTGGTATCGGAACGGACGATGTCAGAGACCCTCGAAGCGAGCAGCGGGATGTGGGACTTGGCCCGAGTCGAGAGTGACGGCTACATTGGCGCACTGCCCGATCGAACGACAGATACGGCTGTCACCAGTAGCAAGATCATCTCGATCAAGTCGATCGCACGTCGCACGAAAACCTTGTGGCAGGCAATGCCGTCTACCACAACAAGCAGCAAAGCGCTATGGCCGTTTCGAGCACCGGATTCGAGCAGCAGCGTCAACTCGACATGTAGCGTGCATTCGTCCGAGTGGGCTGGCGGACGAAGAAGCATTGGTGGTGGGTTCGAGGCCTCGATTCTCGAGGATAGCAGCTCGAGGTCGTTCCTGCATCCATCAGTCGCAGTGTCGAGGTCGAAACGGACAACGACGCAGCCGATGGTGGGAATCACAGCCGAGGCAAGCAGCTATAGCTCTGTTGAACGGTCGTTCCGGGCATCCTGTGAGCTCGTCCACTCGAAGGAGCTAGACGAGGAAGACTCGAGATGGTTTACGTATCGCCGAACGTCCTTGATGAGCTCGAACGCCGGTTTGCTTGACCAGGAGTCAAGTGCTTACGAAGGCTGTTTCTTGCCAACACTCGATATAGCACGCGAAGCAGAGCGTCTGAAGCTGCTGGATCTGATTGTCTCGCCTGCCTGTACGCTCGTGGATCGCACGGTCATGCATCGCAGCTGTGAGATTGCTGCCGCTGCCTTTGGTCTGAGTGCTGCTTTTATCGCACGAGTCGACGAGACCTTTGTGATGATCGAGCACAGCATTGGGACTTGCAGTTTGTCACCTCTCGATGTGATCTTGCGGCGCGAGTCGTTGTGTGATTTCGTCCTCTGTCAACCTCAATGCCAACCTCTGGTAGTCGTAGACTGCCTCGTTGATCCACGCACTCGAGATCTTCCAATGGTACAGCACCTGTGCATGCGCTTTTTTATTGGCATCAGCGTATGTGTCCGCGGTCTCCCCATCGCGTGCCTGTGCGCTTTCGAACAAGGGGACGGCAAACAGTACGAAGGAGACGGAGAACTAGTGTCGGCATCATACTGCGAGTTGGATATTCTGAGAAATGCCGCGCGTCGCATGGAGGATGAGCTGGAAAGCCTTGTCCACGGCTTAGAGTTGTGCTAGGCGCGATGGGGTCAGTTTGCCGATGGCTATCTAAATAGGCTCATCTCGCGGTTCCACCAGAATTTCGTTCACAGCCACATATGGCGGTTGCGTGACGGCGTACAATACAGCGCGCCCGATATCCTCTGGCTTGAGCACCTCACACTCTGTTGCAGAGTACCGCGGCGAATGAGCGCACTCTAGTTAGAGAAAACCACACTAAATAAGAATGAAAGCAACATGGAACTTGACCCCGTACCGGAACTTCCTCCGTACAACTTCATCGCTTCTTCATCGACTCCGCTCGCAGCGTTTGCATGCTTGACCAAGTCCGTCGCAACGTTCCCAGGCTGCAAAAATAAGCAATCGAAGCACCCATGAGTCCACTACGGTAGCGACGACTTTTCCAGTATAGTTCTGGCAAACACACACAGCTCAATCAACCTGAATGGAGGTCACGCGCAATCCACTACCGACGTGTTCAAGGCGCAGTGCTTGAGAGATGCCCTCGACAAACATCTTGGATGCCGAGTACACGCCCAATCCAGGGAACACTTTGCGCCCAGCATCAGACGAGATGTTGACAATGTGGCCACTCTTGCGAGCTAGCATCTTGGGCAGCACGGCAGCCACACCATTGAGGGTCCCTTTGCAGTTGACGTCGATCGTCTTTGCACACATGTCCATCGCGTACCCCACGAGCCATCTTTCGTCAGCAGGCCGTACGCATACAGTCACCAAACAATTACTTCTTCGTGTCTCGTGGACGTACTCGATCCCAACTGTCCTGATTCACGTTCTTCAGCAGCTCAAATGGCATCACGCCAGCTAGACGCAACATAGACATCGAAAGCATATCGACAGGAACAATCGTTGCACAAACGACAGCCATGTGAGCACCATCACTCCACAAAGAGGTGGAAAACGGATCCCTCCAACCGTTATTCACGAGGATATCCACGGCGTGAAACGTCTCCTCCGCCCTGTCCACGAGCGCCTGCACCTCTTGGCGCTTCGTGACGTCCGTCTGGACAATGAGAATATCCCCACAAGATCCCGTCTGTTGCTCAATGCTCGTTTTGACAGCCTCCAGCGCTTCGAGGCGTCGGGCCCCCAGCACCACTTTGGCTCCCGCGACTGAGAGTTCCAATGCAATGCCTAAGACAGTGTGAACGCAAGAAAAAAAGAGGTCAGCGATGAAAGAAAAGCATCAACATACGATTTGGAGCTGCGTACCGGCACCGATGCCGCCTGAGGCGCCTGTGATCACTGCCACTTTGCCGCTCAACTGCGTGTTGTTGGAGCTCATTTGTCAGCTTTTCGCTTACAGCGTCCAGAGATACTCGAAAAATAGTATCTGACGTGTAAAATTTGAGCAAAATGAACGCAGCGATCGAGTCTGGTAAACTATTTTACCGGAACCGTATCGCGTAAATTTCGTCACAAAGTCGCAAACAAGATCAGCATCGCCCGTTCGAGTGAGTATACGCAACACGGATGTATACCACCGATCCAAAGTACTGAAATACCTCCATCGCCACCACAGCGATACACTGGCCATGTACATGGCCCATACCTTTCGACGTTGTCGTGGCGGATGTCACACACGCCCTCCGACCGTTCCGCCTTTGCGTCTTTTGTGTCTTTTCTTCTCCTCGCAGAAGCACAACGCGCCGTTGAACCTGTTCGAGATCGACTTGAAACCATTCGAGGCGTCAGTCCCGTCCACGGAAAAGCTCACTTTGGATGACGCGAAACGGGCATTGGCATTGCAACAGACGGACGCGCAGCACGAAATTGATGCGTTGCATGATGGTAATGGGAGTCCAATGAATTGGGTTACTGGTGTATGGAGGCGAAGGGCTAACTTCGAATGTGAACATTGTAACGGTAGAGATGTCGGCGCTTTTCGGAGAAGAAGTGGCGGAGTACGAGGAAGAGAGATTAGCGCCAAGTACGAGTGAGAATGCAAAGACGATCGTGCAGCACGGAGTATGGATGAAGGATCACGCGGTGATTCCGTCGAGCAGGGGCCTTGCTGCTGGAGCCAGGGTCGCGTGTGGTACGCAGCAGAGAGAGCGATGCCAGCTGCCGACTTCAGGGTTCATGAGTGCTGACGTTATGTCAACAAAAAAAAAGGCTACTAGTGGACGGAAGGTTGTCCCGCGTAACGGCGGCTTGGTTGGGGCTGGACCGGTGGACGTGCTCTTGCTCCATGGTCCGTGCAGCTTTGTTCGGGATGTTTGGACTGTGTACGTGCAAAGTGTGACGTGCTCGAGTGCTTGTGTAGAGATTGTTCGATTGACGTCGAGCTGTCCTGAAGAGGTGACGTGGAGAAGGCAGAACTGTGGCAGCAGATTCACGAACTTGCTGACGATCTCAAGATTGTGGTCGAGAGTCGCAATTACAACTCCGAGAAAAGGATTTTGGAAAGCTTACTCGAAGCACAGAAAGACCAAGTGATCGTGTTGTACTGGAACAGTGAGTCGAAGAGTGCTCGATACGAGTCAAGGCCACCCGACCCTGCGGTTAGCTGGGCTTGGCTTACTTACGTGTAACAACGCCACACTGACGCTTGTTTGCGTTCGTTTGTTGTGATGCTTGTAATTTGCAGTTAGTTTGAGCAAGTCACCGTTCATTGTTCGGGCTCTCGAGCTCATCCAGTCCAAGACCATTATAGTGAGCCCTGGCAACATCGAGCATGGACCGTTACCCGCAAGCGTTGTCGGTGTGCTGTCAGGTAAGCGACTGATTCCTTATCGGGTCATGCGTGTTGTCTCTCGTTACGTGTGCCATCTATCTTCGTTACTTGATATGATCGAGGTGAACTGATCCACGTTTGCATGTGTTTTGTCGCCAAAAGGCTTTCGACAACAGAGCTTATCGCTAGCATTCCATGCTGCTGCAAAACTCCTGGTGGCGAATGCCAGAGAGGGGCGATAACTGTGTGAAGATGTTGGATCCGAGCGCTCCAGGGATTCGCCTCGAAGAAACGCTCGCGCGGGCAAAGAAGAGATGAGGCACGACGGGTAGGAAGGAGAGAGAGAGATTAGAGCGCAACATATGGCTGCTCATTTCGAAGTGAGATCCGTGCACAACGAAACGCAGGACTGTCACTTGTGTCGTGGAACGGTAGAAAACAAAGGTGCGGTCTCGAGGGCACGGTTGGCGACATGTAAGAGAAAGTATCTGACTTTGGTCAAGTGTCCATAGAAAGCCTGACCCACAGAACATCGACTATACCCATACGACGCAAGCAATGCAAGTAGCGATTTTATCAATTTAACACAATGGAACTATTTCTTTTGTCAGCGCCTACCAGCCTACGAATGTGTTGTTCTCTAACGAGCATTATCTATAAAATCTTACGAAGTAATGACAGCTTCTGATACAGAGATCTGTTACATGTCGTTGACGAATAAGGTACTGCCAAATGCTAGTATCGAGCAAACAAAACACAATGATGATATCACCGTGACGGTACTGTGGAGTCATCAGCTAACGGCACCCTGCCCTTAGGCTGACATCAGTCATAATGTCTGGCAATAATCGAGAGATCTACCATTCAAGTTGAGACGCGGTTAATGTGACAGGGTGAGCCTGATATATGTCAGTGGCATCAGATTGGGTCAATGTAAATATTATCGTTAGTATGATATATAACAATATTACTCTCGCCAGTCAATATTGAACGTATATCACACCTTTTGAAGTAATATGCGGTACCGCTTACAATCGGCTGAAATAGACCATAATATGAGCCGAAGAAACCACCAGTCGCTGCTACACGCGCGCAATGGGTGGTGAGTGAGCTTCTGCATCGGATGCTTGTAGTTTGATACAGTGCAAGCAAGATATAGAAGGATTATTCAAGATACGTAATCATACTAAATATCCAATTTTGCTTTTTATTCATTCTGAGCTTGCTCTTGATCAGATTCTTCACTTTCTTTGCACGCACGGTGTACGCGAAGTTTGGGAGCACACACCTTGTGCTATTACGATACAAGGGCTTACCAGCTTTCTGGTAAGAGATGTGCGCCACTGCACCTGATAGTCCTGCTTGGTCCGCTCAACGTGTACGATCGTACACCCAACATGAGCATGTTGGATGAAGGAGATAGCTTTTACGCCACGCGTAAAAGTTATCCCGTTCGATTGACCTCGAATGGAATGTGGCTGAACGAATAAGCTCTTTCCTATGTCACATACCCCTTAGTGGCTTGCTGGACGGTCTAAACGATACCAACAACATTCACTATCAACCAGCTTATCCAAAATGAACTTGATGCTGAAAAGGAAAAAGTTTGTATCCTTGCTTCACCATCAACGCTCTCAACAAGCAGAACAGTCGAGAGAACTTGGTGATCAACGAACAAAGCTGTTAAGAGAGCAGCAGTTTGATGTTACTGTGGGCGGGTCGACGCACACGTGTCGGCCCGAAAGCTTGAAGAGAAATGTCTTAACAGGGGGTCGAGGAAGCCTCGATGTTGAAATGGGTCGTCGAGCTGAACAAAGTCATGAGGATTCTTCGCGTCGTCGACGACGATATGAAAGTCGCATTCTCCCAATCCATCTCGACTAGGCTAGCCAAGGCTTAAAAGTTAGGTCTCAAGCCACGCATCCCAAATTTATTTGGGACGTTTGAGGTCTTGGAACCTCGACTCATACAAACGTTGGAGCCGCAACGAACCCAATTTCGGGTCTCGTGATCTAAAACTCAGACATGATGAATACATATACAAGTAGATGCGCAGCATATTCGACAGCTCTCGGGTTGAATTTGGCGTGGAGTGGGTATCGCAAAAGACCGATGCGTAACAAGACCTCCACTGCTTCTCGGAAACCCTTCTGACGGAGGGGTTACCCGAATCGTGTGTCTTGTCTTGTTCCTTTTAACCTTGTGTACCCGTCGGCGGGCGGGTCACACTCTTCCAGGTGACTTTAGGTCGTTCTTTTTCTTGAACGAGTTGGGAATAGTATTGGTGTGGTCGCGTGGGAATTCCTACGCGACCATCGGT